CGTATGAACTTGTTGAGGGGTTTTAAGTTCAGTATTGGACGCCACAGACTCACCCAGGACCCCACTACTCCTGAAGGCGGCCTCCCACGGGTCCACCGGCGGGAGGCCGCCCGGAGACGCATAATTCACTTGCGCCACGCCTTGGTGTACCGGGGAGTGGGCGCACGGAAACCGCGTCCCGACTGGGGACGCTGTTGTCCGGTATGTGACGGCGTGACGATGATGCTAAGGTCGACACTCTAGCAAACTGGTCGAGAGTGGAGCATAGGCCGCGATCGAGGCAATGGAGAGCAGCCACCATCATGTCGGCTGGTATCACCGAGTTTTCTTCATACCCCAGGGCCAGGTACTCGGATAGGAGAAGAAGAAAGGACGTCGCACGCATACCCATGCGTGCCGCCGAGTCCATTCTACGGGTGACATCCTCCAGCTTTCCACGGGTCTTGTCCGTAAAAGGAACCTTGGATGAAGCCGTCCCTCGGTCAGCGGCGAGTTTGTCAATGGCCGAGTCCGGCAGGACTGGAGTTGAGAAATATTTCTCAAAATCCCCTGGGGGAAAATGATAATACGAGTCTACGCGCTTAGCGTAGGCACTCTGTCTTTGCGTGCATTATCCCGTCGATGTGGTCAATGCACACGCGGTCCAGCGGCATCGTGGGAAAAGCCCGGACCGGTTCTGCTGTCGATCCCGATCTCTTCTTGAACGACTGACGCTCAGGAGGAGGAGGTTCGGTACCAGCAGGAAGATTCAGAACCCTGATCATATCCCGTTGAACCAAGCGGAGTTCGGTCTCAGCCACCGATAGGCATTGCATGGTGCGGGTCAGCTCGCTCTCGTCCTCTGAGTTGTCAGAGTACGGGGGGCGAGTTGTCACCGGGGAATGGGAACCAGGCCTTGGGGGCGAAGCAGCGCCGTCACGGTGTCCCGGTATCGAGCCCCGCTCGGACTCTAGTGACACCGATGGGTGTAAACTAATACCGGACGGGGACGCCGGTGCACGGCTCTCCGTGCACGGCATTGTCCGCTGGTCTGTAGTCACCCCACCACGGCCGTGATGACTGGCGGGTGGGGGCTGTAATTCTGGAGGGGACTCTGGCGCACGGCTAACCGTGTGTGGTATGTCCCTTTGGCCCGGAGTCATCCAGCTGTGACCGTAGTCTCCCTGTAGGCCCGACAATGAGGCCGCGAGGGAGTGAAAAGCCTCCAAAAAATCATCGCGTGAAATCGGGTCGTCACCCTTGTGGCGTTTCCCACGGTGTGATCGACCGGATGACCCGCTAGAACTCGTCGAAGAACGGCGGGAACGGCGGTTCTTTTTCGATTTTTTCTTTTTTGAAGCACGACTCCGAGTAGTTGCCGAGGATTGCGGGGACACGGGGATGCCCGAACAACGAATAAAATCCGATGTAGAGGCATGGCCCTCAGAGCGTAGCGTTAACGCTCCGGGCGTTAACGCTCCGGGGGAATCCCAGGGATTCGGCTCTACATGATCAATAGCCCGGGCGGCCGACAGCACCCCCACGCCGGTAACATAGGCGGGTGCTGTACGGTCGAGCCGGCCATATAACAGCCCATCCCCAGGCATCGTGGTAATCACGGGGCTGGGTGGGCCTGGGTGCACTGAGCCATGGAGGAGTACTTCCTCCGGCTGCGTGTGCCCCGTAGACGGGCCAGGGACAGGCACGGTGCGCCCCGTAGCGGAGCCACCTTTTGCCGTACGTCCCTTCTTGGGTACTGCCCGGCTTCAGACAATTTCTTTGTCTTGCCAGTGCGTTTCCCCTTCAGTTGGGCGGACCCATGAATATTGACCGAAGATGGTGGGGTTGTACGGCCCCCCGCTTGGTCAACGGGTCCGTCAGCTCCGAACAGCCGGCAGTGGCTGAAGGGGCCGACTAGGGGACTGCTGCCGCGGTGACGTACCATCACTGGTGCAGTTCCCCGAGAACTCGGGCTTGTCTGGCGGGATGTACGTCCCTCCATTATTGACACACCCAGTCCTCCCCAACTTCCTAGATTTACTCATTTCTACTTCACTTTCACTCAGAATACTTCATCAGAACAACTCTACAATAAACACTTCCTCTTTATTTCTTCTAAATAGCTTTCTCCCAGCAAAAGAGGCACAAATAAAACAGTGAAATTCAGGTCGATTGAAATTCCACGATATACCTCGCCTGCGGCTAAGAGAAAAAGAGGACGCTAATGTAGTGCGCATGTCACAGGGCGTCGTGGTTAGGACACGTGAGGGCGCTATTGTGTGTAAAACTCTTAGCAAATTGCCTGCCGGCACAGGGAACAATGCATAGGTAGTATTCGCTCTACAGGTAAGTAGAGTGATGTAGACCGTCTAATAAGTTTTGAATTTGAAAAAAAATATAGAACTGTTAACGAAAAAAATCCATGTGTTACGTATGTGTAGCGCAAGATATGTTTCCTATATTTGCCTTTCCTTTCGAGACACGTGACGGAAGCTGACCTCAAACACCATACCAGTCAATAGTGTGTTGGGTGATGACTGAGCAAGTGGCGGAAGAAGTAGTTAAGATCACACATTTTGTCAAGGGAAGCCTATTTCAACATAAGCGGGTCATATACGTTACACCAGATACGTTACACCAGATACGTTACACCAGATACGTTACTGATTATGAATTCATCATGCAAATGTTATGCTGACGTCAACAAACATGGGCTACGTCATCAATCCCCACGCTGTCTACACGTGTAAAAGTTTCTTAACACATTGTGATTCATAGAGCGCATGCTTGCCGAGAAGGATTGTAATTTTGTGCTGAATTTCTGTCGAATATTCTTAAAGTTGATGAGTAGCATCAAACAATGTTTTTTTATAGTAAAATATGTAACTTGTAGAATCTGTAGATAAAGATTCCATCGTTGTTGGTTTACATAGAATATCTCAGTTTAATTATTATGGTAACGTATCTGATCAGCTTGGTAACGTATCTGATCAGCTCCGTAACGTATCTGTTCAAATATCAATCTTTAACTTGCCAGCGTAGCTAAGATGATACAATTAAATGTATTGTTCAGACATTATCTTTAACCAAAAGGGACACTTAAATGATGGTTTCGAGGGTTCCGGCGGTAGGGTAGGTGGGTTGGTTGGGGGTGAACTTAGGGGGTGGGAGGTGGGGCAGCTCAACACACGTGGGAAAAGGAAACTCTGACCTCCATCCTGTGTGCCTGAATTCAATTTTACATCATTTGGTCATGTTTGATCAGGATTGTTTGCCAGGGGGTGCACTGTTTTGCACTTTAGTAAAGTCATTAACAATGATATGCATGCGCAAACAGAGCACGCGAATAAAACGTCACATGATTATTTCCGTATAATTTATATTCCCCTACTCTGACCCCCAAAAATAAAATAAAATAAAATAAAAAAAAAATGATAATAATAGAACAAGATGATATTCTAAATGCAGGCGTGGATCCGAACCCCTGGTCTCGAACCCCCCCCCCATGCTCTGACCCCCAAAAAACCGCAACAATGGGATATAAAAAAAAAAATGACAGGCCAACCCCCGTGCAAAAATTCCTGGATCCGCCCTGCATTATGGTCTTTGAATTATATACTTCTTTTTAACGATCATTACAAAATGATGTTTTTTGTTGACAAACAGAATCAACGAAACCTCTTATTTCAGTCTGTCTGTCACAATGTGTACCAATGAAATTCACATCTACTTAAAATATCCACAGAATCTTATTTAAAGACATGAATTTAATGATGTGGACTTGCGGTAAGGTATCTGTTAGATCGTTACACGACGTTTAGAAGACTTAACATCAAGTAGTTATTTTCCCCAAAAAATAAAAAATTAGTTGAAAATCGCCTTTGTATTATTCCATGTATTCATAAAATGCACATTATAAAAGAGTGACGAAATTGGGATCATTTCTGCTGTGTGAAACAATGCAAACTCGTCTTTTATTGATTGCTTTTTAATTGTCGGGTTCTGACTTTGTTCGTATACAGTGTGTACACATTTTTAGATTTTGACGATACCTTTGGTGTATGAAGAGCGTGGCGTTTTCAACAACATTATCATAATATGATTGATTACAGCAGCTGCTATAAAGTTTTGTGTAAGTGCTGCTTACTGCGTCATCCCGTACATCGTGTTTTTATTATAAATCTGATTTGCCAGATACGTTACCAAAACAGATTGGCATTGTGGATCTTACTATCTCAATCTCATCGGAAATATTTGTATAATTACCTGTTCATCGAAATGATAATGACTAATTACTTAGTTTATGGCAAATAAATGAGAAATTGCAACATGCAAAGTGATAGATCATTAGATGTAGCAACGGAAATTATGCGCATATCCAATCGAGACAGACAGTTTATGTGCCTTGTTTTAACAATCTAGAAAAAAAACAATGTTTTCCAATGTACCTGTTAAATACTGTCACTCAAATCCCTCTATTTTTAGTCTGTCTTTCACAATGTAAAGCTCCGAAATTCATATTGACTTAAGCCTCCCCAGTTTTTGTTTCAAAGACAACTTTTCTATAAATAGAATGGTGGTAACGTATCTGTTAGGTTGTTAAAACACGTTTTAGAAGATTCAATTTCAAGTATTTATGTCCAAAAATATGGTTTAGTTAAAAATCAGTACTGTTTTGTTCCATGTTCTGGAGTTATTAAACTTTACGATTTTGAGCAGATTTCATATATATTCATTGTAGTTGATATTTTGTAAAGTCCAAGTCCCAACTTGAAAACTTTAATGAAGAATGAGCCTGCAGGCCCATATTACGTTTTTTTCAGGAAGTTTGGCTATTACATTATGGGCAGATAAGCATTACATTTCAGGTCGGTCAGGCCTACCCCCTCTCAACTCAAAAATGTATGATTTTAATAAGAAATGGCATCTAAAATATGAAATACTTTGGGTAGAAATACTCTGAGAAAGGAATCATAGAGGAAATCAACCTGTTAACAATGAGAAAATGATAATGGACTTACCCCGACCAGGAGGTCCTATTGGTCCAGGCAAACCAACATGACCAGGCAAGCCCTGTGGACCTTCAGGGCCCACAGGACCAGGCTCACCTGCATCACCCTGAATCAAAACAGCAAAGATTAGGACAACGTGAATCAGATATTCCAGCATCAGACATTTTGGATTCAACTACATGCATGCATGAATAAACACAATCATCTCATGTGATGCTCCACTCAAGTATTCCCTTTTGAATTCATGGACTCACCTTTTTCCCCTTTTTACCAGTTTTCCCTCGGGGACCTCTCTGCCCTTTAGGTCCTGGCAAACCAAAGGAGCCCTGAGGATCGAAAAGAATGGATATTTACATTATATCGTTTAATGGAACATTAGCACTTGTGGAGTGCCTTGGCCTGATGGTCTGGTGTACTGAACTAGTAGTCTGTGGGTAATTCTGCAGGTTGTGGGGTCGAGTCCCGCCTGGGGTTTGTGCGTGTGTTCTTGGGCTAGGCATATTTTCACTCATTGCTTCTCCCCATCCAGGAGTAAATGGGTACCAGTGAGGGGAGAGATGGGTATTTGCGCGATGGGGGTAAACACCCCAATCACCTTTTGGTTTTGTCTTCCCTCTTAGTGTCCATGCTTTCCATTGTTTTTGTTCTTGACAATAATTCAGTATGGCTTTTCTTTCAAATGGAACAACGCATGAGCTTCAAAATTGATATGAAAACCAATCCTGATACAGAGGTGTGCATACAAGTGTGATGTCATGATGGCATGATGAAATACCTTGCTGGAAAGCATCCTGTAAAATCATGGCACCTGGTATACTGTCATTTAAAGAAAAATGGTATTTTTGTATCAATTTCCAATGCTGGTTGGCCAACCAGCATTGGTAAAAAACTTGCTTTTTTTCAAATACTGGCCCCTATATTGACCATATTTAGTTAGTCCGCATTTGTTTGCAATCGATTACACACCTATAAACGGGTACAAGCCAGCTAGACTGGTTCCCTAACCTTACAATTCCCCAATGTCTATAAATTGCCCCGTTTCATCTTAAATGGAGTCAGGGAACCAGACTACAGGAACATTATTGTTTTTCTTGGTTTTATAGCATCTACAAACCCAAAACGCCAAAAAAGTCAGTGTAATAATATTTGCTAAATATTATCAACCCCCAAATCCATCCATTTCTGAAAACTTCAGCAAAAGCAAACTGCAAACATTTGCAAACATCAAACAACGAAGTGATCAATTATTACGAAATATCTTACTGGATTGTTAGCGAATGACAGTCTAAAGCATCCTGTAAAATCATGGCTCCTCAGGTGTGCTGACATTTTCAAAAAAAAATGGTATTTTTCCAACGCTGGTCAAACACTGCTCCCAATTTTCACATTTAGTTATTCCGTATTTTCTTTGCAATTGATTACACACCTGTGAAAGGGTACAAACCTTCTTGACTGATCCTATACACCTTACAATTTCCAAAAGTCTATAAATTGCTCTGTTTCATCTTTAGGGAGTCAGGGAACCAGACTACAAGAACATGATTGGTTTTCTTGGTTTTTCCAGTATCTTCAAGTCCAAACGTGCAACAGGTCAGTTTAACAATATTTTCTAAAATATACTAATGCTCCAAATCCATTTATTTCTGAAAATTGCAGCAAAGGCAAATGTTGTACATTCCCTTTAAGTTCAAAAAGTGACTGTTTCAATCATACTTCTTGAACAAAACAAAGAATCATGTTCACACTTTGTAATTATTATTATTATTATTATTATTAATAAACAAAACAAATCAGGTAGAGTGGGAAAAGTGCAAGCACTATAAGTTGCTTTACAGCAACCCCACACACCTGAAGCGTTGGCGAAGAAACAAAATCAAGAGACAACAATAAAAAAACCTGATAAAACAAGAACACGTATGATCGACCCAAAAACTGGACAACGAGCAACACTAGAAAAAAATTAAAGGGACCTTAGATGCTTGTTGGCCATTGAGTTAAAAGTATGCACACTGCCTGCTGCACATATGTCACCATCTAAGGAATTCCATAGCTGTACGACACTCATGGGCAAGAAACAACGCTGGAACTGGCTGGTGTGACATCTCATCGGCTGCAGAGTAAGCGGATGCAGAGAAGATGCAAGCCAAGTATTTCTTGCTGGCACATACAGCCCCGGGACATAATCGTACAGTGGATGAAGCAGATTGGACCGCATCTTGTACAGCATATATACATTACTGACATTGCATCGATGGCCCAGATCACACAGCATTACCATCACACAGAAATCAGGCAGTATGGAGTACCCTGTCAATGAGACGGATATGAGATGCAGCAGAAGATGACCAAACTGGCTGTTGCACAATACTCAAGAAGTGGAAGGACAAAGCAGCGGGAACAGCTAGCAGAGATGGACACATCGTTGAATATTGTATAGGCCTTCTTCATTATCCCAAGTTTGCGAGAAGCAGAACTGACAATAGATCGGATATGACGCTCGAAGGTTAATTTCGGATCAAACTTGACACCCAAGATTTTTAATTCATCACAACCATTGAAAATTGAACCATCAAGAGTTATATCGCCGTGCGTTGGATGGAGGCTGCGAGATCGGGAGATGCACAAGCTACTAGACTTTGATGTGTTCAACTTCATGTCCATATGCTACAAAGATCATCATTTAACGATTCACTGACGGCATGACGCGACTGAGGTGAATCAACTATCGCAATCAGAGTTACATTGGCAGCGTAGCCGTACAGTGAATTCTTGGTGATTTTGAACAGGTCCATCATGTAAATGTTGAACAATAAAGGGCAAAGAACACTTCCTTGAGGAACGCCTGAATGGACATTGTGCCAGTCACTGAAGCTGCCATCAACACATACGCGGTGAGTCCGTCCCCTCAGCCTCATGACCATGATCAAGAGCCAACTGTAATTTGTGAGAGATTGTGCTCAGGAGAGCGTCTGTCATCCCAAGATTCTTGTGATAAGCAAACTGGTTGGATGAAAACAAACTTGATCGTTCCAGAAAGGGGAGAGATGAGTAAACACCAGGTGCTCAAAAACTTTGTAAATTATTGGTGTGATGGATATCGGCCGATAGTTGTTGACGCTTGGTGAAGGCGACCCTTTAGGGAATGGAGTGATGTTGGCTACCCTCCCACACATCGAAAAAGATCTAGATTGCATGAGGCATCTATACACAGCACTCAGCTTGGGAGCCAGAAGAGGAACAACGGAAACATCCCAAGAGGATCAGTTCAGCCATTAGGATCAAGTGCATTCAGCAGCTTTTCCACTTCTCTGGACCTGAAGGCAATATTGGTCAACTTTGGCTCCACATCGACTTCCTCATCAAGCTGTATTTGTGTTCGGCTGAGCTTAGAGTCAAAGTGAGTCATCAAACAATCAGCTTTATCCTTTGGATTTGTCACAAGAAAGCAAGGGAGGAAGAGATAGGCTTGAACCAAACACAGCCGACTTCAACGTGGACCACCACTTGTGAGGATCAGAAGAATTCGACAGTATTTTACGAACGGAGCTAACATGATCTTTCTCAGCATCGCCGTACGTTTTTTCCGCAAAAGACCTTGCGTGGATGTATTCTTCCCAAGATTCCATGGAATGTTGACGTGACCAACGATGATGCGCCGCTTGTTTTGCGTCTCTGGCAGTTCTACATTAGGTTGAAAATAAGGCCTTATCGTTGAAGCGGTATGAAACTTTTTTTCACAGGAACTCTCCGAGAAATGATGGTCATAATTTGCTTGTGAAATGCAGACATCGGATCAGAATTGTTGAGAACTGCACCTTAGCAAATTTTAGACACTAATTTTTTCTACTCTGACTGAATTCCAATTAACCTGATCCTTCAGATAGATTTCTCTGGTGACAGTGTACGAAGGGAAACTTTGTCTCAAGTTCAATCGCAGACACTGATGGCAGAATGGCCAGATGTACCCAAGGGTGCCTTAATTGACATCGAAGTTGACAACATCCAGTGCGTCGGAGAAAACCAAATCAAGACAGTTACCAGCCCAATGGGTTGGACCAGAAACTAGTTGTGTGCAACCTGAAAAACTGGTGAAGTCTAGTGCAGCACGTCCATGGGCGTCTGTACGCACCGAAGATGTAAAAATTCTAGTTTAGCACACAAACAGACAACAAAGAATTTGTGACAGCTACATTTGTAGTTTGTCTTCCTGTGAGCCGAGAAACCTTCACGGATATGAATAGACACACCACATCGACGACTAGTAGAGTCACGACAAATGAGCAAAGGCTGACAAAACGCAGGAATTTTCAGCTCTATCATGACGAAAGTCAGAAACCACGATTCAGCACAGATGATGACGTCTTGAGATTGAATACTAACTGTGAGATCCTTGAGGTTTTTGTGAAGACCTCTGATACTCAAAAAAAAAAACTCTGCCTGTGTGGCGCTACCCGGTAGGACCTATCTTTAATTCTACATCTCCACAACAGATCAATAGCCAATGCAAGTAATCAACAGGATTAGTATCACAACAAGTCATAAAGAGTGCAGGAGTCGATAAATCCAAGAGATCAGACCACTTATTCCATTTAGAAACGACAAGCTAGACAAGCGCGTCACCCAATTCGGCATTTAACCTAGAGGAACCAGCTCAAGCTCCCCAAAGGCAACAGGCAACTCATTTGCAAGAGGCTGCCTTGCTGGGGCGGGCGTCACCTCTCAGTAGGTCTCCGAAGGACCTTCCCACCTACCATGCCTTCATCAACATTTCCTGTCATGTATGTGAAGTCACTTGACCTTTACTTCCGGGGTTAACGGAGGGTAAAACTTAGGTAAATTCAAAATAATGTAAGAAGTGTAAATACTAAAACAAACATAATTTCTCCTTAACGGTTCAAGGGATAAAGATGAAACTTTGTACCAACATGCACTATTAATTGTCCAAAGATGTCATCAAACCGGAAGTCGGTGTTATTAATACGTGCACATAAACGTTTGTGTTAATTTTATTGCTTTTCCGCTTGAAAGTGGAAAAGCATTTTGTTCTGATTTTTTTTCTTTCTTTTTTTTGGCTTTTCCGCAAAGTGCGGAAAAGCCTTTCTTTTTGTTAAGATCTTTCTTTCTTCTTCTTCTTCTTCTTTTTCTTTTTGTCGCCTAAATCCCATAGACTTTGTACACGATTTTTCTGCTCACCACTTTTGGCATAAATCTTTGTCATACATCATTCAAAGTTACCACAGACATAGTCCCTATAGCAAAGTTGTGTCCTGAAGATTGACGTCATGGTGACGTCATCGACTAATTTATTATCGATTTTTGAATATTT